CCCACTTTAAGGGATACTGACAGTGTTTGTATCCTGGCATTGCTACTTCCTAGCTGACTGCCGGCCAAGTGCTTAACCTCTCTGGGTCTCAGTTTCCCCTTCTGTCAAATGGGGATAACAGCATTGACCTTGCCCAGTTAGTGAACTAAATCAAGATAATGAAGGTCAAGTCCTGACCTCGGTCACTGGTGCACCGTACACACAGACAGTGGTAGCGGTCGTAATTTCTCTTTCCTTATTTCTACTTGGATTGGAATGGTAGCTTACACTGCCCGGATGCTGGCCCCTAAGCTCCCCTGGGCTTTCCCTGAGTTGCCCACTCTCAGGCTCTTCTCTACCAGGATGGTTTATAAAGCCCTACTTAACCCAACTAACCAGCCCACTGTGTTTGAAAAGTCAGGGATGCATTAAGAATTGGTCTTCACTGTTAAAGGCGTTTCCTTTAGTGAGTTGATGTCCTAAGTATCTGCAGCAGCAGCAATGAGGAAACTCACAACCGTCGGACTCCAGCAGGGAGATGGAGCCCAACCCAGCTTGCATATAAATGTTCCCAGATGCTCCAACTTCCAAAGGGGCGGTGTGTTGTCATCAGAACCAGTGGACAAACGCGACGGGTGGCCGGGCGGTGATTGTAACGAGGGTGGTAATCAGCAGGCCAGGGGAGAGCGCGATGATTTCCTGACTCGATCGTGGACGAGGAACAATACTGGCTTTCTTCCCCCAGACCTTGTCCTGGTTCCCAACACTCACAGGAACAATTCTCATTAAGCTCCCCTGATAGGCGGTTTCTAAATGGGCCCCAATGATCCCGCCTCTTTGAATTCATGCCTTGTGTAATCCCCCACCCTCGATCGAGTATGGACTGGACCTAGTGACTTCACTTCTAATCAACAGAAATGGCAGAGGTGATGGAATGTCACTTCTGAGACTAGGTTACAAACATGTCGAACTTGCCAGCAGATTCCGTTACTGGTTTCTTGACTTGCTAGTTTTCACGAAACAGGCTGCCACTGGGAGAGACCCAGATGTCAAGGGGCTAAGCCCCGACAATCCTTAGTGAACCTGCCAACAACATGACCAACTGCCCTCCCCCAGGCAAGATTGCAGATGAACCTGTTGCCCCGACTGATGTCTTCATTCTAGCTGGTGAGTGACCTTGAAGAGAGGACCCAAGTGACTCATGCTCAGATTCCTGACCCATACCAACCGTGAGATAATTAATGTGTGTTGTGTTAAGCCACTAAGTTTTGGGCTAATTGGTTATGCAGCAATAGGTAACTAATACAGATTTCTTCCTTAAAGTTAAAAAGCAGAGGAAAGGCCTGTATTTCTGCTGGGAGCGGTGTTCAGTTAGAGAGTCACTTATTTGGTTTTCTGTCAGTTCTTCCTCATCTGATACTGTGCTACATTTAACGACAACACACTGCTGACAGACCTGCCTAACACAACTTCTGATACCACCAGACCCTATTTCAAAATCTTTCCTGGGGGCGCCTGGGTGGCTCAGTCGGTTGGGCGTCCGACTTCGGCTCAGGTCACGATCTCGTGGTTCGTGAGTTCGAGCCCCGCGTCGGGCTCTGTGCTGACAGCTCAGAGCCCGGAGCCTGTTTCAGATTCTGTGTCTCCCTCTCTCTCTGACCTTCCCCCATTCATGCTCTGTCTCTCTCTGTCTCAAAAATGAATAAACGTTAAAAAAAAAAAAAAAACCTTTCCTGGCTCACATTGGCTGAAAGAAAGAAGCTCAACTTTTCCGTTTGGTGAGCAAGGCTCTCGTAGATGTCGATGTTCTCCCAGCTGCTAGAACGATCTTCCTAAAACACCCATCAGCACATGACACGGTTGTACTTAGAAGTCTTGGTTGGAGTCCGGCTACCAACTAAACTAAATCTGTGCCCTGCAGCAGGGCCATCAGATTCTGCCACGATCCGGCTCCTCTGCCTTTCTGCCTCACACTTAATGTGTCTGCAACACAGAAGAGCTTGTCCTACGCACCTAACCTGTGTCGTTAAGATGCATGCTTCCTCTCGGCCTCCACTGCCTTCTTCTTCCCGTCATTGCCCAAATCCCCTTCTCTGGAAAATCCATACTTCAAAGATTCAGTCCAGATCATCGTGTAATAAAAAGGAAAAACAAAGAACCCCAAACACACTCATGTATTTGGATCAGCATAGACCATCTCTGGAAGGATCCAGAAGAAACCAATGGCATCGGTTATCTCTAGGGAATGATACTGGATAGTGGGCACAAGGGACAGACGTTGGGAGAGAGGATTTTCACCGTGAACCCTTTTTGACTTTTATAATTTTCCAACATATGAACGTATTTACCTATTTAAACACTAAATGAAACAATTATAGGGGCACCTGGGTGGTTTGGTCGGTTGAGCATCTGACTTCGGCTTAGGTCGTGATCTCGTGGTTCGTGAGTTTGAGCCCCGCGTCGGGCTCTGTGCTGACAGCTAGGAACCTGGAGCCTGCTCCGGATTCTGTGTCTCCCTCTCTCTCTGCCCCTCCCCCACCCGTGCTTTGTCTCTCTCGCTCTCTCAAAAATAAATAAAAGAGTAGAAAAGAAACAATTACAATGAAGGGAAAAAAGTTAATTTTTTGACTCACCTTTGCTAGGAAGACTTCTCTGACTCTCACACACTGAGTGGACCGTGTGATGACTTAGGTGTATGCATCTGTCAGACCCTCTGGTGTCTGAGGTCACAGAGATCAGGGCTCAACCCTTATTCGCCCCTCATTCCGTCCCCCGCTGTTCAGCACAGCGCCTGCTACTACACGGGCCCTCAAAATCTCTGAGGCATAAAAAGCTACAGTTCCTCAGCCCTCCTCAGCCAGACTGGCTCTCCTACTTATTTTCCAGGTCCTTATTGACACAGGGTATTCCCTGACCACCTAACTCGGTTAAGTACCACCGTTGGTCTCTGTTGCAACACCGTGTGTTCCTGAATGGCACATACTGTAAGCTATCATTACGGCGATTTGTCCAATGGTCTCTCTCTCTCCTCCTGGAGCATGAGCTCCTTGAGGGCAGGGGCTGTCCTATCTAGTTTTCCGCTGTTTCTGCAACGTCTTGAGCAAGGTCTATCCCACGCGGGGTAAACACTGAAGGAAATACGATTTACTGGCCGACTAAACAGATGAACGAATGGCTGCCGCTGCGTCTCCACCAGGGTGACCATCTGAGTGTCTAACAGGCACTCAAAACTGTTTGTTGAATGAATGAATAATGTAAGAGAGGCCGTTTAATCGTGATAATACCGATAACTGAAAGTAACTCATTACATGGTTCTCTCGACCCTTCAGTATCAGCTCATGGAAAAGAATAGCTTCCTTCAGCTCCGTTTAAATTATTCAGAATAAAGGAAAGGAAGTAGGCTCTCGAGGGACGTGCTAGAATATCCTTCTCCAATTGTGTGCGTGTGTGTGTGTGTGAGCGAGAGAGAGAGAGGTGGATCAGCTGCTGTCCATGCACTTGGGGGACAGAGGAATGGACTAGTTCTGTGGTCCTTGGTGCAAATATGCTGCCAGTGAACCATGAATTCTGTTTTGTTTTTTGTTTTTTGTTTTTCTCAAAACCAGGAGTTTACAGGTTGGAATCCTTACTTAACATGCTTTTTAGAGCAATACTGTTTTGGATGACAAAACTGATGCATGCATTGCAAAGAATTTCAAAGCTAAAGAAAATGTACATAAGAAAATAAAAGTTACCCTTAATCTCACCATTATGGCTGCCTCTTTTTTTTTCTTACCTATATGTGTTTTAGATTCATTCTTTCTCTCTCACCCCCTTCCTCCCTCCCTCCTCCCTTCCCTCTGTTTAACACATTTGTAATCCCTTTATGTTCTGTCCCGAACACTGTCCCGTAACATTAAATGTGTTTTGACAATCACATTTTCAAGAACTGTATATTATTCCAGTGAATTTGCCCCAATCCCTTATATCAGTTCTTTTCTGTCTATTGCTACTATCGTTCTACCATTAATATACAGTTAAAGGGTGAACAAATTTGACTTTAACTTTGCATTTCCTTTAACTAGAATTATAGAGAGGGCATTATTGGCTAAAAGAGTACGGAATTTTAAATTACGTTTACAGGAATGGCCAAATTGCGTGGATATGATATAGATTCCATGGATCTATATATATATGATATAGAGTGCTATAGTTCCATGGTCCTCATCCAGAGTGTTTGTTTGATATTACCCTCCCCATAGATTTTCATCGATACTCTTACATTGTTCTCATGTAATACTGTTATATTTAATTAGAAAGGCTCAATTAGAATTTGTTCATCATTTATATCTCTTCTTCTGCAAATTGATTTTCCTTATTCACGTATCTCTCTTTTTAAAAATTTTTCTTAACATTTAGTTACTATTGAGAGACAGAGAGAGACAGAGTGTGAGTGGGGGAGGGGCAGAGAGAGAGGGAGACACAGAATCTGCAGCAGGCTCCAGGCTCTGAGCTGTCAGCACAGAGCCCGACTCAGGGCTCAAACTCACAAACCGCGAGATCATGACCTGAGACAAAGTCTGATGCTTAACCAACTGAGCCACCCAGGCGCCCCTCATGCATCTCTTCTGGAGCCTAAATATTTAAAAATTCAGGGGCGCCTGGGTGGTTCAGTCGATTAAGTGTCTGACTTCAGCTCAGGTCATGATCTCATGGTTTATGAGCTGGAGTCTCATGACATGGGCTCTGCGATGACAATGTGGAGCCCGCCTGGGATTCTTTCTTTCTCTTTCTCTCTGCCCTTCCCCATCTCTCCTCTCTCTCTCAATCTCTCTCTCTCTCTCTCAAGGTAAATAAACTTAAAGAAAAAACAAAAGAATAAAAATTCAATTAAACTTACATATTAATGTTGTCTTTGTGCTTGATTCGACTACCAATTAAAATCGATATTGTAAGTATAATGTATAGAGTCATTTGATGTAAATAATCAGCCCGGAATAAACTACAAACATAAAAATGTTGCGCATTGACAGCTCACTTACCTTCAGCTGACTTGTGATTCCATGTGAACCCTTTGGAATTTCGAGTACCTGAACAGAAACAAAAGAACGGATTTGAGCAGCTCAGATCGGGGTGCAAGATCACACTCTGAGGCAGCGACGCTCAAAGTAAGGCCCCAGGACAAAAGTCAACACAGTCACCTGGCGGGGACCGAACCCCGTGTGCTGGGCTTTCTCCCACACTCACCAAATTAGATTATCCTGTGGGCCAGGGCTGGGAATTTGGACGTTACCAAGGATCCTGCAGTTTAGGGATGGCTATGGACTTCCTTCTGGCCGTGGACTCTACTGTGCTTTACTCACAATGCAGCCGGCCTGATAGGGTGCCCGTGCCCTGAGGGAGACGGCCCTCATTCAAACAGAACCGTGACCAGGGGCCACCTGCCACAGGGCAAGTTTCTCCTCTTTGGATATGGGATCTTGAGGACACTCAGACAGGGGCCATGTGTTCTAGGGATCTATGTATAATAAGTGCAATACTCAGGCGACTATCTTGAATTTGAGTATCTACGGGGATGATCTGGGAGCCTTTCCCGCCAAGGGGTGAGCTGGTCTTTGACGTTGGGGGTGAGGCGACAGAGGGACGAGGGTAGGGCGAGTGTGATGGTGAGTGGGGCTCCCAAAGCAAGGTGGAGAGGGACCCTGGACAGGAAGCAAAAGGTTTGCCCTAGAAAACAGGAGGCAAAGCCTCAGAGAAATACTGTGAGTAATACCCGTGAGGGAGCGTCTTCCTTAGCAGTGTTCTTCCAATGCCCATGGCTCTTGCGGCTCCCACAAAATTTTTGAAAACCTATTTATTCCTCACATTTTAAAATGGAAGGCTAACCTATCTTATCATACGGTTATATCGTTGGGTAATTTCTAGTACACTTTAATGTTGACGCTGTAAAATAAAACCAGTGTTATTCGCTCTTTTAAATGCATACAGGAGAAGCTAAATATTATGGAGACTTGACACATTGCTCTTTTTTCTGTTTCCATTCCAGTCCCTGCACAGAATTTACTGCAACATCATGTATTTTAACGCTTGAGAGGCTTTTTTTATTGATCCCTCTGTTACAATTTTCTGGATCAGGTTTCCGTACAAAGTTAAGCTTTGAAACCTTTAGTATCTTCTGTGAATTTGATGCTGTAAATGTTAAACAGTTTCCTCTGTGTTGGATTATCATTACAACTATTTTTATTTGTACTTCATTGCTCAAAACAACAAATACGTTATGCATTTTGATAAATAATTATGAAACATGGGAAGCACAATTTTATTGGAAGCGTATATCTGAAATGAGAGGGGGACTTTTCCCTTCTATTAACTCCTGAATATTTCGTATTGTCTAAAAGAGATAGAGTCCAGGATCAGTTTTATTCCTTTTTTCCCCCCGTTAGTCATACTTGCAAACACTGAAAAACTTTGTTCACATAAGTGGTGGGAAAGGACAGAGTTTCCTTATAGCAACATCACTCAATTCTTTAAACTCTTCCGGGGTATTTGCCAAAAAATCATATGGCGATCTATCATCAAAAATTATTTTTAATGATCTACTAACTGACAACTCCATCAGATCCTTCTTCAATTTTGTTGAAAGCAAAGAGTTGAAAAGGATTTGTAACCCAATCATTAGAATCATTCACTTTCTCAACACTAACAGCTAGATTCTGAATCACCCCTTTGTTTGGAGTCCTGGATTGTCTGTAGCCTGGGGGACTGCACCACAGTAAGATTCAGGGACTGGGTGAGAGGTAGGCCTTTCTTTTGTAAAAGGGGACAAGAGGCAGCTCTCAAAGGGAGGTTGGAGAGGGGACCAGCTGGGGCATCCGTCCCTTTGTGTTTGTGGAGTCCTGCAGGAAAGACACCCTGAAGTTGTGCCCCCCTCCCCCCACCAAAGGAGAACCAGCCTGGTCTCAGAGAGCAGTTTTAGAATCATCTAGAGGGGAGCCGACAATCTGGAAACTATTCCTTTAAAACCATTCATGTCAAAGTCACCCTTAACAGAATTTCGTGGCAAAGCTATGAGAGTAATAACAGATTCAGACGAGAATCATCAGCAGAGGCCAGAAGTGCTGGGGCATAGTCCGATGAGGAACGGGGCAGCTACAGGATCTCAAAACGTTTCTCCGTAAAACACGGATTAATTACTCATTAATTTCCAAATACAAAATACTTGTAAATAAATTAACTTTACCACGGAGATGCTAGCAGATGCTCCATATGGACAGACACTATATATGGGTGGGTACCGACCGAGAGGATGCACTGAGAAAAACATACTAGCGTTTTCTGCTAGTTCTGCCTAAAAAAGCAAAACCTGCATCTAATCGTGGGGAAACACGTTGAGATAGATACACCCAAACTGAGGAATGTTCTGCAAAGTAACTGGCCTGTATTCTTCAAAAATGTCCAGCCACGGAAAGCGAGAGAATTTGACAGCTAAATGCCACGTGTGGCTGGGGTTGGAGCTGACCTGTAAAGGATCTTATTGGGATAATTCGTGAAATGCTAGGGAAATCTGCAGATCAGAAGCTATTGTTTCATGGCTGTACTCTGGCTATGTAAGGAAACATAAGCTAGAATATTAAGGGGTAATGGGGTATCATCTCTGCAAGTTACTTTAACATTTTTTCTTTTAATGTTTATTTATTTTTGAGAGAGAGAGAGAGAGACGGAGCGCAAGCAGGGGAGGGGCAGAGAGGGAGGGAGACACAGAATCCGAAGTAGGCGCCAGGCTCCGAGCTGTCAGCACAGAGCCCGACACAGGGCTCAAAGTCAGGAACCGTGAGATCATGACCTGAGCCAAAGTTGGACACGCAACCGACGGAGCCACTCAGGCGCCCCTGCGAGGTACTTTTAAATGGCTCAGGAAAACAAATATAAGTATACATATTAAGAGGGTAATAAGGGAGAGGCGCCTGGGTGGCTCTGTCGGTTGAGGGTCAGACTTCGGCTCAGGTCACGATCTCACAGTTTGTGGGTTTGAGCCCGTGTCGGGCTCTGTGCTGACAGCTCAGAGCCAGGAGCCTGCTTCACATTCTGCGTCTCCCTCTCTCTCTGCCCCTCCCCTGCTCGCGCTCTGTCTCTCTCTCAAAAATAAACATTTAAAAACATTTAAAAAGAGGATAATAAGGGAAATATGAAGAGTCTGAGTGAAGAGTACACAGGAACTCGTGCTATTACTGAAGTTTTTCTGAATGTGGCTCAGTCAGTTAAGCGCTTGACTCTTCATTTCCGCTCAGGTCATAATCTCGTGGTTCTGTGCTGACATTACAGAGCCTGTTTGGGATTCTCTCTCTCCCTCTCTCTCTATGCCTCTCCCCCCTCTTGTGCTCGACCTCTTTCTCCCCTAAATAAATAAATAAACATTAAATAAAAAAGAATGAGAAGGTCCTCACTTTGTAATACTAGTAAAAACATGGAGAGATATGTGAGTGACTGTCAAAGAAGGGAATGGAGAAGTTCCTTGGCAGCTGGATAATGAGCTTTTTTTTATATTTATGCAAAGGGAGGGTGGATGAAGGAAGGTTGAGTAACACTACCACAGACAAGAGAGGGAAACCCCCAAATCTGAGACAGGCATAAGAAGACACATAAGGATAGGCCATGACATCTGATGTTCAAATTTGGTACTTTTCATTGAGAAAAATGATGATGACTCTTGTTCAGTGTAGCCAAGGGGATAACCCCTGTACCAGGCAAGACTGGATTCTTCTCACCTGTGTCCAACCATATATGATCCCATCTCCTTTGGGCTCTTGCATGCTGTGATACATATCTCTCAATTCAAGGTCCTTACTGTGAAATATTTGTCTTCAAGCCTCGATCAGTTGATTTCTGCTACAGGCTTTGCTTCCTTCCCACTGACTTGGCAGATGATGGCTATTGTTGTGTCATGTTGCAGATCTGCTTCCAGCTGGTGCCCCCGTCTCTGTCCAGATTCTTGACCTAAGTATTTTCCCCCCAACAAGTACTTGGAATGGTTATTGTGTAAGGAGGAGAAGGCAAACTGGCCTTACCTCACCAACTGGTTGGTAATGGGCCTCTTGGAGTCCTCCATTAAGCAGGATCTGGAAGCCATTTTGGGGCTCAGCGGAAGCCATTTTGGGGCTCAGAGGTTGAGAGTGCCATGACAGATTAGTGAGGTTTGCTACGGCCCTGGGAACAATGATGATAAAATGCTTGGTATACGGGGGCAAGCAGCCTCTGTGGTGGCCCTTAGGCATCCCCTTCTTGGTATTCTTCCCGTCGAGGGTAGGCAAGACTTAGTGACTTGCTTGGAATCAACAGAATACAGAAAAAGTGAAAGAACGTCACCTCTGTGATTAGGTTTCAAAAGACTGTGACTTCCATCTTGCTAGCAGATTCTCTCTCTCTTTCTCTTTCTCCATGGCTTTCATGAAGCAAGCTGCCTTTTTGGAGAGGCTCACATAACAAGGAACGGAGAGTGGCCTCCAGACAATAGCTGGCAAGAAACTGATGCTCTCAGTCCAACATTCCTTGAGGAACAGAGTCCTGCCTTCAGATGAGACCCCAGCCTGGCTGGATGCCTCGAGGGTATACGGCCATGCCAGACAGCCTGAAGTAGAGGGTCCAGCTCAGCGTGCTCGATTCCTGACCCCCACACACTGTACAATAATTTGTTATGCAGTAATAGATAAAGAACATACCATGTATTTGCCGTCCTCAGTTTCACCACTTCACATGCACCTTACTGCAGTACAAAAAATAGTAGGAGCGGCACCACACATCTAGCAAGCAGCAAGAAACTATAGGCGAATTTAAAGAAGATAAAGTTACCAGGATCAATCACAAGAACTCAAGACACAGAAATCAGATGCCAGTTAGTGGCAAACAGTCCTGGAGAACTTAGCCAACTTTGAGTTCAACTGGTTTTGATGCTCGGTCCAGTGTAGTTCTTGAGTTTTTATTTTATTTTATTTTATTTTATTTTTATTTATTTTTATTTTTATTTATTCTTGGGGGGGAAGAGTGCAAGCCGGGGAGGGGCACAGAGAGGGGGACAGAGGATCTGAAGCGGGCT